TTGTGAATATTATGTACAAAGTATAATTATGCTTGCAGGCCCAGGAAAATTCCCATGTTGAGAAGATACTTAGCCTGATCTGAAAACCCACCGTTCAAACATGATGATACGGCCGGTTGCTTTAAAACATGAGAGAAACTAAAGTATTTTTAGACAGTGTTATCGAAAAACCCAGTTCTACAACCCTGAATTGAACCTGAGTCAGCTTCATAGAGCAGAAATTACTCCCGAGAAGCCGATCGCCTCAGCCAAGATGATGACGAAGGAAGAAAACAGAGCATACAAGACGCACCACATGTTCGGATGGCGTCCCGCAGAGCGGCTGTCGATGGAGGTGCCCTGCAGAAGGATAGATATGTAGATACACGGTACCGGAATGATGCAATGAAATGATGCTGATTTTGCTCTTCGCTTGGTCCCATCGAACTAACGAAATGTCGCCCGTTCCATGTGATTATGCTGATGTGGAAGACAAACTAGATTAGGTTAGTGTACCTACTAGTATCTGTACCGTCAGCGTATGCATACATGTGATAGCAAACAGCTTGCGCGAAGGTTCATCTTCCTATCAATCAGATTTACATTACATTATCTTCCCCATTCAGCGAAAGAAAGAGCTGAGACAGGATGCTACCAAGCGAGAGAAAGTCGAAACGGTTGCAAAGTAGCGGAAATGAGACCTACCATGGGGAGAACAATTTTTCATTTCGCGAATCAATTATCTCTAATTGATTAATCGAAAACTGGGTCAATGGAAAATGTACGGTTCTAGGATTTTCCCGGAACGTACTGACTTGTTACTGATTACAAATTGAATTTTTTAAAGTTTTTTTTTTGACTTCATGCTAACAGCACTGAAGTACAGTGTAATGCTCTTACTGCTCAGTTATCGAAACGAATCGCATCATCTACTCCGACATACCTGGATTGCAGTAGCCTCACCCGTCAACCATCATTGAAACGGCACCGTGATGAAGGCTTGCTAACCAAGAAACCTTTTGATGGTGGCATAGAAGTATTGTCAAGATTCTCGAACGCTTTCAAGTCAGGTTTTCGAGCCCGACAAAACACTTCATCTTTGCGAAGAGGTGTTCTTGTTGTTGGCGAGGGCAATCGAGAAAGATCCGTGGAGCAGTGTGGAACAGGTGTCATCTATCTGGGTAATCGCATACTATTTGTTTGCGCTCTGTAGGGAACGACAGAGTAAGACGGCCACCATAAGATCAAAGTAAAAAAAAAACTATTCAAAATTGCAGCAATAAATAAGCTAAATATTGATCTTTGAGTGCTTACCCTAATCACGTTGATTTTGTGATGATGATTTTCTTGAACCAACAAAAGCCTGAATAAGGCATGACGCAAATCATGCAGGGTATCGTTAGGGGTAAGATTACCACATGGAATATCTTGTGATCTTGCCAATATAAAATATTACTATCTTCATAAAAGTTGTACAGTGGGTCGAGGTCTTTTGGTTAGAGAATAGTAGTTCAGAATTAATGTGCATATTAATTTCCTGTATCAGATGTATGATACCGACAACCTTTTTTTTTTCGTGATTATTTTGATGTTCCATCTTTTGCCAAGCCAATATAACTTTTAAAACAAATAATCCAGAAGGTGGATAAGACTACCCCGGGTGGCCGTCTTCACCCGTCGTCCCCAACATTGCACCTGTCCGAGTTTGGGATTATGAACTCATTGAAACTCACTGTCGGTCAGTTTCCACAGTAAATACGAGGAACGTTACGAATGACCATCCGAGTATGACAGCCGAACGAACAAAATACATGAATAAGGACGAGCTGTCGTGTACTGCACAAGACGGCAACGTTGCATGTCGTATGACAGCCTCACTGTGGGCTGTCACTTATAGCTCAATCTCAAGGTAGTCGTAGGAAAAAGAAAGCGACAGCCGTTGGAATACTATCATCACAGACAGACAGATGTAACACTTCATTGTGTATCTTCGTTCACGTATTTAAGTTAATTTGAATATTATCAGTTCCGCGAACTACTCGCCGCAGCGCTGGCATCGGATCACTTTGACGTTTCTATACATTCTATAGAACTTTTATGCAATTATTGTTTGCGAGTTAGCGAGCAAGCTTGTTTTCCGCGAGAAGGCAGAGAGATGTCGTTACTGAGGACCTATGTTTTGAGATACTATGTTTTGAGATACTATGTTTTCAAGAAAAACTTTTTAAAAGTGTTGCGTCTGTTTGTCTGTGCTATCATGAGGCGGTACTTTTGGTATGCCTGTGTAGACCTGCCTTTTGTAAATCATAGGTCTTGATATCTTGGGCAGCTTTTCTCAATATTATGACTTTTTTTTTCCTTTGGTTTGTTTTCCTTCGATCTTGTTTTCCGTGTTGAGCACCAATGCTACCGACGCCAGGAAGGCAGCTCCCACACCTGGACTTTACCTATCGACCCATCAACTCATGAACCGGGGACCAACGGCTTTACTTCCCTTCCGAAGGAAAGTGTGATCAGAGATGTTATGCCTCAGAACATGGCGGGATGGCGGCGCCGACTGGGCTTAAACCCAAGCCTGCTGGAGTGAGAGGTAATCACGCTTACCACTAAACCACCGGCGCCGCTATCAATATTATGATGAAATGCAGAACTTTAGCCAAGAAACCCTCTTCCTAGGACATGCATTCTAGGCGGTGGGAATTAGAACTACACAAATCCCACTACACAAAATAGTGGTGCTTCGTAAACCGAGCAACTTTGTCGAACACCGTAGAGCTGTAGAAAATATGCCACCGGCTCTAGAGATTTTGGCCAAGCTATCGTAATCTGTTTATATTTTTCTTTTCATGTTATCAACTAGTATGATTTATTTTCATGTTTTCAAATCATTAGTGTTCGATACAAATAAAAAACTAACCAACTATTATGCCCCGTAACGTGGGTAGACCACCTTTTCGTGGTACGTTACGGGATGTAAGATCTACCACCGATTCCTAGTCCTGACTACTTCAAACTAGGGGAACAGGATTTTTCAGTAATCAAAGGAACACATCTTAGTCCTTGTTACTTTTTATGCCTTGTTGATAGTGACAAGACTCGGCTTTGTCCACCGATGATCTTGAAACAAGGAAAAAAATGAGTTAGTTAGTCTTCATCTATGTGATTCCTAATCTTCTATTCGTTGTTCCCTAGTTTGAAGTGATTAAGACTAGGGTTCTGATGCATGGTCATTATCGGTGTCATTCCTTAATTTTGTTGCTAAGGAATCCAATTTTGACTGACAAAGGGGCGCGCCAGGCGATATCTCTGAGCCAGGGAACCCCTCTTAACTGCGCCCACCATTGCCCTATTGTTAATAAGGCACTAGCTTTAGCAGCTTTTCAAATGGCCAGTACCGAAGATACTGGTACCAGAAAAGCAGCGGGACTACCATTGATACTGGTACCACAAACCTATTGCGTATGATAATAAGTATAAACATAATAAGTAAGTAAGTGATACTAGGGCACACGATTCTGATCATCTTTTTTTTTTGTTCATGAATAAATTACGACAGAATGCAAATTCTTAGCCACTGTGACAAGCTACATCAATATCAATAGTATGCAAACTAGCTCTCGTCATTTTATAAAATGAACTATGTATTTAAAAAAAAACATGCCTCCTCAAAAATTTCTCAAATTTGTGACTTCTGATTGCACCATGCATCTAGTTCGCATTTGTATCAGTTTTACTAACAACAGTGAAAACGCTTACAGTAGGACCACAAACAAACAGACATAACACATTGAATATTTCCCACTGTAAAACATCGTCGCTAAAACATTACCGCCATCTGTTGAGTACAGTGTGGTGGGTAGTACACTGAACAGATGGCGGTAGTGTGTAAATATCAAACGCAAGGGAATTGATTATGCGCGCCACAGGTGGCGGGTTATGTCTGTGGTAGTACCACCGACAAACCGACATGAATGACCATAAAAGATATCGTCAAATTTCTGATCAGATCACAAAACTGACATCTGCCGCTGTGTTCGCGAAAAATGTGTATCTTAGCCACGAACACGCATACAAAATGTATGAGTTGGTTCGTGTCTAATCTATTTCGGGCAAATTATTTTTATCTAGATAACAAATTTCTATGGTTTTGACAGATGGGATCGCTGCACATTTGAATCCGCCGTTATGGATTCTCGATCAAGAGTTAAGTTTAAGATTCATGTCGGTTTGTCGGTGGTAGTACAGTTGACGGTTTTCAGTAGTGCCAACACGGAACCGAAAGATTACCCAAAATTAAGTTCTTTTCACTCATCTCCCATGTTCCGTTCAATAAGCTAATTTTCAGTAAACCGCTTATAGTAGTTTACATTTGACTACGGCAAAAATAATTACTTACTCGTGAGTATTTTCTACCTAAAATTAAGTTCAATTGACTCAAATTTGAGAATATCTCATATACTCACTAGTAGCTTATTGAACGATATTCATGAGAAAATGGAATCTCTCGTTCCGTTTTTGACAACAACAAAAAGTGAGAGTGGGATACAAAACTCAAAATTACCCAAATTAAATTAAAAGAATTTCAATTTAGGGTATTTTTTTCTCTGTGCATTAAAGCCAAACAGACGTTCTCGCGTAGCATTTGAAAGGGACTATGATATGTTGCAATCAAAACTGGTAATGCCCCTTTTGCTTTAATCGATGCCCACCTATGCCAATCAACAACACCATCGGTTATGGGAAACGCTCCCCTTCCCGATAGTGATCTTGGTTTGCATGAGGGATCTTCGGTTCACGCAAAAGGGGCCTTTTAAGTTTTGTTTACAAAAGTTTATAGGGTCTTTGCAAATGTTACACGTGAATTGCGGTCAATTCTATCACAAGAACCCAAGCAGTAATTATAAAGTCGTTTTACAGCATACGCTATGCCTTCGGACATTACGGGGAATCATAATTTCCTTTGTAGTATTTCAATCGAAACGAATTTGGAATCCGAAAATCAACCACTCCAACATACCAACCTGTTACATTTCCACTGTCTTGGCCGTACGGGTAGCCAGAACCACTTTCCCCACTTCTCGCATTACTATTGCCACCACAAGAACAGCAGGAACACGACATTTTACGATTATTACAGTCCTACGATTGCACTCCGACTTTGGATCGGGTATTAGAAGACAAGGGCGTTTTCCACAATGGTAACTTGGTGCTTAACCGCCGCGCTCGCTGCTGACGGGTTACTACATTCATACGTACGCACGTTGTTTGGTGGTCTCGGCACCGACTGTTTTGGTCTAATTAATCTTCTCTTGGCTCATAGGGGAATGTAATATCCATTCACTGCACGACAAATTTCCGGAATTTAAGATTAGCTACGGTACCAGCTTCTACTATTGATAGGTGGATTGTCAAGCCATGCATCTGTCTTCAGGCATCAGTTATTCAAATTCGTTTACAGGTATGTTTGAGTAAACAGCAAGCAGATTTCCGTTGCAGACCGGTTGATCAGAATCGCGTTGGTCATTATCACACAGCAGCAGTGAGTCGTGACCCATTTGGGTTTGCCTGTCCACGGCGAAAAATTTCACACGAGAGAGCACTCCTCAAAACAGCACAGAAACAAAGCATTGACCTTTCTGGCATTCACATTTGGTAAATATTTCGACTTAGTTTTGTTTTCACTGGGTTTGTTGTTACGCGTCAAATGTAGGATATTCAAAACAGTTCAACACTTTTTGCAAGGTTACCCTTGAATCTCTCATTTACCGGCACTCGTAAAGCTTGAACCACGATTAAATGAAGCTTCGGGCGTGATTCTAACGGTTGTCGCGTTTCATTGGGCAGGTGCACTGGAGAAATTCTTCGCTGACACAGATATTTTCTCAACGCGCCCGTTTTTGATTGAGGCGAAATTAGACGTACACAAGATAATAACACAAAATACAAAGAAAAAAAAAAAAATCTTGCGGGGTCTTGGTTGAGCAACCCAGAAATGCAGAGCGGAAGATGCTGACCGGTGAGAGTCCACCAAACACACCGCATCCGATTAGATAACGCTGGCACGGTTGACTGAAGGTGGTGGTGCTCTGAGGTGTTGTCTTTGGAAGCTGTACGATCATGCTCTCGGTAGTGGCCAAGTTCGCGAGACTCGAGAGCATGCATTTGTTTGTTGAACGGCGAGAGAAAATAAATAGCGATCTTCCAAATCGTGAGCAAATCTGCATGAATGTAGGTATACAAAACACATCACACATATATGCGATATTGTTATCGTTGTGTTTGCAATAGGTAGCTATATGTGAAAACAAGTTTATATTGTTATCAATCTTGTTTCAAGAAGAGTATGGTTTTTATTTGCATTTAGGTTGTAATGTATTTTATGAGTTTCATATGTTTTAGCTTATTTTGAAAACTAATTGTCAAATGTTTGTCAACTATTACTGTGTCATGAACTTTCGCGCACTCATATGTGGATTGATCTCATGTCATCCACCTCGCCAGCTTTTTACGAGTGTTTGCATCCTCTTGGATTGGCACAGTTTCTCTTGATGCCTAGTTTTCAACGTTTGTCCGACATAGCATTTGTCGGAGCTAGTTTGGCTAAAACTGTTATAGAGACACTCTTTCTTTCCGTGCTCTCTTGAACAACTGAGCGCGTGTGTTTGGGCGAAAGCTCGCATGTGGAGATAATACGAATGCGCATAATTTGCAAGTGAATTCTACTTCGTTTCAAGCACCACACGCTTAGGTATGCGCGTGAGCTAAATTTGAACTGCTTTTATCAATTTTGTTTCAAACAGAGGTAGATAAGCTCGTTTGCTAACAACTTTCACTCATCGTCAACTACCTATAGTTTTTTTTTTTATTTATAAGAGCAGATTGTGTAAAGCAGCTCATAGTTTATTTAAATAATTTGCGATTGAAGCAAATGACTGAGTTGTGTTCGGGAAGTTTGGGAGTAAGGGGCTGTCCATAAACTACGTAGACAGTTTAGGGGAGGTTGGCAATTATCCACGGCCCATACAAATTTAATATTTTTTGTATGAATCCCAAAAAACTGTCTACGTAGTTTATGAACAGCCGCAAGTAGCTTTTTGGGATTTTTTACTAACTCCCTTCATTGACTTACTGAAAGCATCCCGCCAACTTAAGTAAGATATAATATTTAAATATTATAAATTTGAATTTATAAAGTTTGGATAAGATGTTTTTGAGACGCGTTGGGTATGTTGTAAGATAACGTACCGTGAAGGTGGGTTATTCCGCGCACTTAACGCGAGAGTAAAGTCTTTCCCTCTACAAAAACTTGTTTTTGAGACTTTATTAATGAGATTTTTAGCCTCCAGGCTAGTTCATCTCCAAGAAAAGTTACTGTCAAATGTGTCATTTGATACATTCTTTTATCATATTTTCATTGAAAAATATAAAATATAATATATAAAAAATTGCCCCGCAAATCGATGTGACGGTGCATATAATTCCGCGCACTGATTCGAGCGATGTATGTAATTCCGCTCGAATCATTTCGCGAAATTCCGCACACCTTTATTCATTTGAAATTAAAACCCTATGCTGGTATTTAATTTGCTAGAAAGTCTTGCAACACTGTTTCCATTATGTGATGTGGAAATTACAATCAGGAATCCTTATTCCCCGTTAATGAGGAGCGTGGATAAGGATCCGCGAATAACGACATCCAACCCACAGCTTAAGTGATTTTCACTAATAGGGTCTGTGGTGGATTATCTTATATTAGTTTAAGTTGTTGTACTGGGCTTAACCAAAAAGCTTGTACCATTAGATATAGGTTTAATTAGATTTTACGATCAAGCTGGCAAAGGGTAATGTAACCAAATCCGTTGGTTACACTACTTCGTGATCTTGAAAGTTTTCCTAGCCTGACACCAATAATGGTCTAGAGGTTTTTTTTAAAGTTCTCGAGTTTTTCCAATGGCTAGTTAACCTTTGAAGCCAAGCCGCAAGTCTTTGAAACCATGTTTACAAATATTAGAAACCATATTCATGTTGCAGAATCTTATGTTCCTTTTTAAGCTCATTAAATTATACTGATGAATGTGGGCGTCTTAGTGGAATACCTGTATAATGAGAGAGAGAAGGATTAGTAATTTCCTTTTAATTCCACTACCTTATTTGCTTATCCTTGACAGATAGACGTATTTCGTCTACAATGTGCAGACTTCTTCAGTGTCTTGTACTAATACCCGACTGAAGAACAAAAGGAAATTACTTCTCCCTCTCTCTCTCTCTCTCTCTCTCTCTCTCTCTCTCTCTCTCTCTCTCTCTCTCTCTCTCTCTCTCTCTCTCTCACTCTCTCTCCCTCTCTCTCTCTCTCTCTCTCTCACTCTCCCCCTCTCTCTCTCTCTCTCTTCTCTCTCTCTCTCTCTCTCTCTCTCTCTCTCTCTCTCTCTCTCTCTCTCTCTCTCTCTCTCTCTCTCTCTCTCTCTCTCTCTCTCTCTCTCTCTCTCTCTCTCTCTCTCTCTCTCTCTCTCTCTCTCTCTCTCTCTCTCTCTCTCTCTCCCTCTCCTCTCTCTCTCTCTCTCTCTCTCTCTCTCTCTCTCTCTCTCTCTCTCTCTCTCTCTCTCTCTCTCTCTCTCTCTCTCTTCATCAGGAATCATCATGACAACCAAGCCGTTTGATCCAAATACATTCATCGGATTTAAGAAAACCATCGCAACGCTACAGAAGGACGAACCATTTCCAAACAAATGCCAAAACCATAAGCTTACACCTACTGCCCACACAATTACACTACAGACACCAACCCTACCACCACTGTGACGAGGATGAAGGTTTTGGAACGTTATTATCTACATCACAAAGCAGAATCCAATTATATACCACGAGTTTCTGTCTAGGGCCAAGGTAGCAGAGGAGTGCGAATCGGACAGGAAGCGAAAGCTGCAGGATAGGAAGCTTAACAGACTACGCCAGGAGTCTCAATGGAGAAGGACGACACACCGAATGGGTGAACAAATCCCATCAACCATCACCACGACGCCGAGGGTTCACTCCATTGATGGGTTGGTTATCAACCGATCGTCGACCGCATTCAGGAAAAGAACAATTGACACACCTCAACAAGGGACTAGGATAGGTGGTTACAACCAAGCCAGACGTGGAGCAGATCATCATTGACGTAGAAACAGCGATTACCAAGACACTTCCAACATCAACACAGAATACGGTTAGGACTATCACATCGAACATTATCAAGGACGGACAGGAACAAAGTCGCGGCACAGGAACAAAGGAGATAGTAAAGCAGTATATTAAATACGTGAAGGCAGACAAGGGAAACGCGGTCGTTATCATGGACAAGGACGATTACACAATCAGATGACAACGAAGATTAACAACGGACCGTATAGACAGCTTCGAGTAGACCCCTTACAGAACATAGTGAAACGCATGGAGAAAGCACTGAAGGAGTGCAAATCGATATTACGAGATGGAGCAGGTCGTTTACGGGAACCCAATTCCATTCTACCCAGGATCAAAAGTCTTCCCAAAGTCCATAAACCGGGAAATGAAATGCGAGAGATCGTGTCTGCAGTTGGTCCCCCCACCCACAAACTAGCAAAGTGGCTAGTCAAAGAGTTCCAGAGTATGCCGCATCAGTTCCAGAGTAAAGCAGTTAGTAACACTCAGGAGTTCACCCAGAAACTACAATCTTCAGGAGACATCAACGAGGACGAGATTATGGTATCTTTCGACGTCACAGCTCTTTTTCCCAGCGTACCGGTCAAGGAAGCGATCAACCATTTGGAGGACTGGCTATTAAGACAACGAGAGGATGCAGCATGGAGAAACAAGGTTCGGACGTACCTTAAGCTGACCCACCTTTGTATGGACGAGAACTACTTCTTTTTCCGAGGTAACTTCTACAAGCAGACGAAAGGAGCCCCAATGGGAAACCCCCTATCTCCCTGTTGTGTGAACTTTTCATGGCCAACTTGGAGACAATCCTGAAGGAGAAAGGACTATTACCAAACCGTTGGTGGAGGTTTGTTGACGATATCTTTAGCGTAGTTAAACGGGAAGCCCTTCCACAAATTTTAGATGAGATCAACAGAGTTCACAAGGATATCAAATTCACTCACGAGGTAGAAAAAGACAGGAAACTCGCATTTCTCGATCTTCTATAATTTTTATTATTTCTATCATTTCTCGACTATAGTCATTAGGGAATCGTCATCATCTTCCTCGCTTGAATACGAAATTTACAGGAAACCAACAAGCGCCAAAAGAGTTATCCTTTATACTTCCAACCATTCGTTCCAGCAGAAAATGGCCGCCTTTCACCACATTATTCTCCGCATGCAGACTCTTCCACTCAGCGATACAGGAAAGGTTAAGGAATTACAGTACATCTTCGAAACAGCGAGACTCAACGGATACATTGAGACCACAATCCAGGCAATCATCGATTAAAAAGCGAGAATTCTACAAAGGAGATTATTTCCAACCCTTACCGCAGCACCTGAACCATTTAAACGGATGTCCGTTACATTTGATCAAGATATTACTTGTAAGCTAAGACCACAGTTAAAACAATTCGGATTAGATTTAGTTTTCACCAGTAGACACAACCAGTTGAAATCATTGACCATTAAAGACCCAGTTAATGGTTTAGGTAAAGCATGTGGAGGGGCTTGAGATTAAACAGTGCGGCATCTCTCAGTATCACTATAAGCAACCGGACGTTGGCCTCCTGGATTCACATCATCGCGATCTCCTTTGGTTCTTCGCACAGCTCCCAACAAACACCGCTCCTGTATCTTCCTTTTTTTTGTTTATTAATTTATTTGATAAGGCTCAACCGAATTAACTTTACAGAGCCGAGGATTCTTGGTCACTATACAATACATCTTAAAACTATAGTCAAAAGGTACAACATAATAAACATTTTATCTTCCGCTATCCAAAAAGCCTCCTCCATCAGAACTGGAGCCGCTTCCAGTAGTTTCATTGTATGGCTAATTGTTGTACGCCAACGATGGTCAGAGTGCGTCCATTGCAGCAATGGACGCAAAACGTGGTCAGCTCTCACACACTCATCACGCAACGGTTGCTTTCCAAAGTCGACGACGCATCGACCGAAAGAACTGTTGATGAAGCACAATGAGGAGGACCACACAATGGTTGCTGCCGAGAAAACAGACGATCGCGTAGCACACATCGAGAGTGGCCTGCTTTTGTCGACAGCCGAGTGAACACTGCTGTATCTTCCTTAAAAGGTGTGAAAAAGCGCTTATGCCTTCATCAAATTTACTTTGTTTCGATTTGGTCCTTACGTAAGACGGGATAACTTTAAACCTTTCATAAAGTAAACTACGACTAACTTGACGATTTTACCGACGTACAAATATTGCAGATCATTTGAGCTATCTCGACCAAACTCTATTGCGTATTAAAACGACTGTTTTGTCCTTCATATTTGACCGGACCGGTGAAACTATCGCATGAAAACCCCCCAAACCATACAATCAAAGACGACCCGTCAGTCTTCAACCACGGCCCTCATGATCGTGTTAAGGACACACGTAACAACACATAAGAAACTAATCGGTTAAGTGCCAAGCAAGCATGTTCGATCGCGACATTTATTTTCTAAACTAATCAGGGCACCTAACCTTAGAAACGGAAGAACAAGCCTCACGCGATCGAGGTCATCCTCTGGAAAATGGGAAACGATGAACATAAATCTCTATTACTCCTTCGAAGGGACGCATCTGCTCCCGCAAACAATATTTACATCCGATCCCCAATTTGGCGCAACTGGCATTCCAACACCACCTTCAGATAGGGGAAATTTTCCCCTTCCTGATAGTGAGTGTTGCTATTTTCAGCAGTCTCTTTTTCTTCGGCATCTTTTCCATTTGAACTGCGTGTTAACCAGCTGTTCTATTATCGGCAATTCGAAATCAGCCGTATTTTGTAGTGTGTATATTTCATTTAAAGAAAAATCTAAAAAAGGTAAGAAATCGGTTGAATACATTCAGCAAAGGTGTTCGATGGGATAATACAGTAAAATTAAAGTTTCAATTTCTATTGCCGAAAAAAGTCAATGGGTGCCGCAGCCATAATTTACCCTGTATGGTAGCGCATTCCACGTATATTTTCCTCTATTTTTAAACAATTCCTCTCATTTTGCGATCTGCATCTGAAATCAATCAAAAATGAGATAGGGAAAGTGTGCCAGTTAGAGTACTAGTGCTGCAGTTTTTGGCCCTTAGTCTGAAATATATAGGGCGGAATGTCAAGTGACCGAGAAAAATACAAATTTGTAATAGACATCTTCCGATTTGGATCAAATTTTAAGGAGATTTTTATTTTAGTCTAATGAATCCAATTGTTTATGCCGATCGCAGCATCCCTCGATCCAGGGTAGCATTTTCTATTTTTTTGTTATTTTCAAGAAAGTACTACTATAGCGGTGCCGGTGGTGTAGTGGTAAGCGTGATTGCCTCTCACCCCAGCAGGCCTGGGTTCACTCCCAGTCGGCACCGCCGGGGTTTTCTGAGGCATAAAATCTCTGATCATGCCTTCCTTCGGAAGGGAAGTAAAGCCTTTAGTCACCGGTCATGAGTTGATGGGTCTATAGGTAGGGTCCAGGTGTGGGACTGCCTCCCTGGGACCGGTTGCATTGGTACTCAGAAGGTAAAACAAGATCGACGGAACACATATCAAGGAAAAAAAAATATTGTTGGGGCCACTTTTATTCTATCCTGGGGTACAGCTGAAGATGATGGGATTGTTGCTTGGAACTGTTATAGTTATAGTTCATGTCCTTGGGTACAAAAGTGACCCCATTGGCTTCGTACCTGGAGTGCCAGGACAACATTTGAAACGTGGCACGAAGCTAGATCGAGCCAGAAGATCGTAGGGCCCTCGTGTTCCTTCAGACACTCCTTGAGGTAGTCACGAACGGCATACACCGTTTGCCACATGAGCAGATCGCTTGCCAAATCATGTATTTCTTGGCAAACTTTGAAAGTTTCTACTTCCTTACTTCCTCCGGAACACCAAACTTGTGCTGGGCGGTGAAGAACAGTAGCCCACCCCCCCGGAAGCTACCGGAAGTAAGTCTTGACGTAAGTCTCATCATCCATGATGAGACAATGAGGCTTCGTCAGCATCAGGGTTTTCAGTTTCCAGTTCCGTGACTTTCCCACCGTATTTTGCCGTTCGTCACGATTTGGAGCCTTCAGCACTTTGTACGTATGCAGTCCTTCTCGGTCCTTGGCATTCTGAACGGAAGACTTGGACAGATTCAACTTTTTGGCCACATCCCTGACCGAAGCATTGGGATTCCGCTTAAACGCTTTCACGACACGCTTGTGATCCTGATCACTAATATAACATCCATTCTGACCGCTCCTTCCGTTCGATGCTTAGAGTTTCGTAGTAACGTTTAATCACACGACTCACTGGACTGCACGATTCCGAGTTGTTTTTCGATGTACCGATGAGAGAGTTGAGGATTTTCCAGGTGCTTGCGCAAAATCAATTCGCAACGTTGCTTTTCGGGTGACGCCATTTTTCCAACTTTCGGAAAAAAGACAGCGATTAAAATACAGTGTAAACAGTACACTCTAAACTACTTCTACCCAAATTTTCATGAGAAAATACCCAATGGGTAATTTTCTACATCGTTTTTTTCCAGGATGTAATTTGATGTGGAACACCCTTTAAAAGCTGTGGAAGTGCCCAAAAAAGTTTGATAAGAGTTGTGAAAATGCTTAAAGAAAGCTTCGAATGGGACGTAATAGCCAAAAATAAATGAAAAAGAATAATATTAACTATCAATTACTTATTTATTTAACTTAAAATACATTCGATGCAACATTCATGCTGTGTTTTAATACACATTTTCAGCCTGATTGGGCTCTATCGTTACTCTAGCGTAGGGACTATTGACGCCAACTTTCCTCAACTGGACTTGTTGTCGAGGTCTAATTGCAATATACACCAAATATACGGCCACGATTACCAAAACGATTAGAAGGATTACTAATAACACATTGAAAACCATGTATATCCACGACTTTTCTACTTTGCATTGCAGCTTGTCAATTTCGATTTCAGATAAGTGTTGCCCTCGTAATGATGTTGGTTTTGAGCAGGACGCGGTTGTCGAAAATTGCATTTCCTTCAGCCATCGGATTTCACAGTCACAATTCAGTGGGGTTCCCGATAGATCCAATACTTTCAGCTGTTCGAACGCAAACTTTAGCGATGAGTTGAGTGTTCGTATGTTGGTTCCCTTGAGGATAAGCTCTTCCAATATGGTGTCGGTTTCATTAAGTACAACATTTTTACCGAAGATGTGAGGGTCTATTGTGGTTAGATTTCGTGATCCTTGAAAGTTAATGTGTGTTAAACGTGGAAGTCCAAATAGCGCGTACTCTTCCAGTTTGTAGAGATTGGGCATGTCCTCCATGGTGAGACTTTGTAAGTTCGATAAATGTGGAAGAAACTTGGCCGTCATCACACGAATAGGATTGTTACTGATGTCCAGGTTAGCGAGTGCTCTCGGTAGTTTTTGGATTTGCGTCAGCTGGTTGGAGCTAAGTACTATGTGGTCAATGCCAACCCCATTCGACAGATCTATGTAAACAAGACTGCAATTTTCTAGTTCGATCATGTTTAACCTGGGTGTAACTCCAAGTTTTAGGAAAATATCGTTCTCCGATGTATTGAAAAAATTTCCTAACGGATTGTTTGAAAGGATCAGGTGTTCCAGCCGAATGAACGTAGAGAATGCATTGGCTTGAATTGTTTTTATTTTATTTTCTGCTAGGTTAAGCTTGCGGAGCTGCTCTAACCCTTCAAATGCATCACTGTTGATAAGGTCGATTTCATTTTCGCTCAGATCCAGCTCCAGTAGATTTGAAACGTTGGCAAAGTTCTTATCTTTCAAGGCTGTTATCGCATTATTGCGTAGGGTGAGATATTTCAATTTATCACCAGTAAATTTTGGAATCGACGTCAATTTGTTGTAGGACAAATCCAATGCGATGGTACCTTGTGGTAAATTTTCTGCCTGAAGTATGTCATTTTGCAGGTGATGATCCTGGCAGTTTATAATCACCACCGGTATTCCCCATGGAGGCGAATTTTCTACATCACAGTCACAGTATTTTCCACCGGCATCGTCGGTTGGGTCTATTAGCGGTTTATCAAAGTTGCACAATTTCGTCATCACCACACCTGTATCATCATCCTGTCCTAGTACAAGCACGACGCAAGCTGTCAGAATATTAATTAGAAGACACAATTTCCCGAACGAAATCACAGCCATGCTCTTTTTTTACGGCACAAATTATCCTTCTTTGTACGCACAGGTTAGCTTTTCCTTTGTAAGTTTCTAACCCCACACTGATACGAGTTTTCCACGATATATTTATACCTTTCTTATCAGTTTATGTTGATCACAAGTTTAATTTTAATTAAAATTATCATTCCTCATCAAATATTTAAACACACGACGTTTTCCGCTTTTTCCTATAACAGAGGACGCTTCCTTTTTTCACTCTATTCACTGATCTCCCTTTTTTGGAGAGGCAAAATTTTTAATTAGTGTGAATCAACCATTAATTAACTACCATCCCGTTCCTTCCGCTGGGCGACATTTACTTCCCTAGTGCTGCTGGATTGAAATCGTACGAGAGAATTCCTTTCCAGCAGAATTTAGCTCCTCTGGATAATCCGCAGCAGCTTCCGTTCGTTCTTTTTCTTTCCAGCGAACTGCAAACTTTACCAGCGTTTGAATTTTTCGATTCCTGTGGCCCTCGCCTCTTCGTGAAAATTGATTTCCTGGTGCCTGCTTCTCGGAAGCGTGATTCAATCAGCAGTTGTGTGTGTATGTGTGTATGTTTGAACGTATTCTGAAGGGGGATCCGACCCGGTTTGTTCTAGGTTCCAAAGTTTAGATTTTTTTTTATTTCGAGCACGGAAATTGAATCAATCAGTCTACCTTGTACGGGGTGTTCTACAGCTATGGCGATGCATTTGTGTTATCAGTGAGACTAGGCGCAGCACACACAGCCATAATATCAAGGAGTGTTTACCTGATGATAAGACAAGCCGCTGTATAGATAAGCCTCCGCTGCTTGGTATCAGTGCGCTGCTACGTAATCGAGTCGTGGTGAATTTCTCGGAATAGTCTGAGCAATTTGTTTCTGAAAATTGTTTGATACACAGGAGTTGGAGTTATGGGGTACTGATTACTATCCGATCTCAGATTTCAGGTGAACACGCTGAATCTGATATCATTAGAGGAGCTTGTTGGATTGTAAGATTGTATCGGTTGGTTTTCACAGGATTGTACAAATTGAATAAGCAAGTAATGTTTATTGCTTTCATATTGTGCATCTACATTAGAGTGATGCAAAATTTGAAATTTTCGCTACACAATACTTAAACGATTCCAAATCGGATCCTGACTAACCTCTCAAAATTTGAACCCATTTGGTGAGAAACTGAGATGGCACAAACCATTTGAAGTTTGTATGGGAATTACTATGGTAAAACCAAGATTTTTGTTCATGTCTATCTAATAATTCACCATAACGGTCTGTTTGAAAAGTTTTCAACTGTACTTGTAGGAAATTTTCCCAGCTAAAAACCACTTTCTGATTAAATGCAAGAATCGAAAGTTATCAATGGTTCAATGCACTGATGTCTTATGATCATGCTCAATCAACTGCTCAGCAGGCAACATTGGTGTTTCTGGGGCGTTGAATAGGACACACACATCACGGCTACCATGTCCTACTGCGAAACACAGTGTTGCCTACAGAGCAGCTGCTTGATCATGTCATAAGTTTACCAATCTCTTAAATAATTAATAACTTGTTCCTGTCTCATTTTACATAGAAACAATCTTCAGCAAAGTTGTAGCTGAAAAAAATTTCTATAAGAATGGCTAGCGAACTGTTTCGCAGCTAAATATGGAGAAAGACTAGAAAGCAATGAACAAAAAGTTGAGATTTCCCATAGTAATTTACATGTAAACTTCAAATAGTTTGTGCGAAGTCTGTTTCCAACCAAATGAGTTGTAACTTTGAGAGGCTAATCAGGACCCGATTTGAAACCATTTAAGCACTGTGGAGCGAAAAATTCAAATTTTGCATCAGTCTAATCTATTTATTTATTTTTATTTCGTCAACCAACGTAGACTAGTACAATTAATACAGTTTTGTTTTCTCAAATATATATTTATATAAAAAAGTAGTGTCAGCTTTCTTGTCTTTTCTTTTATGAGTTGTTATTTCTTATGGAATAAAAATATTGCTTTAGTTTATGCCGAGACATTGTAAAGACAATGGTTTCGCAGTGTTTATTGTAAGAGGCCATCATGCGGTTTAATGGCCCATATTTTGCATAATTTGTGCGATGATGTTTTATGGCAAATAAATTTCGATTTCGGAGTTGCCGAGTGGGTGCATGGAAATTTAATTTTGATAAAAGTTCTGTTGAGTCAATTCGCTGCGAAACGATATCATTTACAAATGAAACCATTGCATATTCACGACGCTCTTTTAATGTTTGTATGTTTATAAGCATGCAGCGTGTTTCATATGATGGAAGAGGAAATGAAGTCCAACCTAATTTACGAAGAGCGTATAATAGAAATTGTTTTTGTACTGATTCTAATCTTTCTTCGTGCGTGATTGAAAATGGAGACCATACAATACTGCAATATTCCAGTATTGACCTCACATAGGCAATATATAGTGTTTTAATTGTGTAAGGGTCCTGAAAGTTATAGCAAAAGCGCTTGATAAAGCCTAGCATGTTATTTGCCCTGTGAATAATTGTATTGTAATGGTCTATGAAAGTTAGCTTAGAGTCTAAGATAATTCCTAAATTCCTAACTCTTTCACATTTGTCTACAGTTTGATTTCCTAATGCAATTGAAATATTTGAAGTTGTTCTTTTTCTACTAAATGATATTAAGTTACATTTTTTTACATTCAATTCTAGTAGACTTTTTTTGCACCATATGTAGAATATGTGTATTTCATTCCGGAATATATTGATGTCTTCTTCATTTCTTATTTCCAAAAAGAGCTTCATGTCGTCGGCATAAATAAGCAATTTAAGTTTTTTGAGAATGTAAGATATGTCGTTTACGTATAGAATAAAAAGGAGAGGTCCCAAATGAGAGCCTTGGGGGACGCCTGAAGTGACTTGAATTGGGCTCGATTTCTTTCCGTTGAATTTAATTATTTGTTGGCGGTTAGTTAAATATGATTCAAGCCATTTTAGGAGCCCTGACTCAATTCCAATTTTTTGCAATTTAAAAAGTAGCATTGGTATGTCTATGCGGTCAAATGCCTTGCTAAAGTCTGTATAGAGAGCTTCTACGTGGTTTCCATTATCCATTGCATTCAATGAATAGTCTATAAATTCAAGTAAGTTGGTCGAGGTCGAACGACCCTTGAAAAAGCCGTGTTGCATGTCAGTAATTCTATTTTTGATTTGGAGAAATAATTTTTCGTTGATAATTGACTCGAAAAGCTTAGGAATGCAAGAGATAATGGCTATACCACGATAATTACGTACGTCAGATTTTCGACCAGATTTAAAGATAGGTACTAGAAATGAGCTTTTCCAAATTTTAGGGAAGGTTCCGGATTCCAGAGACATATTAAAAAGCCAAAACAATGGAGCAGTGAGTTCCATTGCTAGACATTTAATAAATACTGGAGGAATTCCGTCAGGTCCAGGACCTTTTGAGGCATCTAAATTTTTTAAAGCCTGCAAAATGTCCTGCACTTGAAGTTGATTGAGGCCAATGTCCCTTGAAAATTCTGGATAAAATGCAAAATAATCGCGGTCACGATCTTCTTCAGAAAATGTCGTATAAATTTCTTGAAAAAATTTTGCGAGTAGATTACAGTTTTTTCCGAACTATCACCGACATTTTCGTCTAGATGCATTATTGAAGGAAAATTGTCAGATTTTAATTTCGTTTTTACGTAATTAAAGAAGTTCTTCGGACAGGACTTTATTTCACGTTCAGTTTTTGCATTATATTCTTCAAATGCAGTACTGATAGCTAAATTCAGTTGATCGCATAGATCCAAATAAATTAATAAATTATTACTACTATTGCGTTTTTTATAAATTTTATGTGCTTTTTGCATTCGATTTTTCAAGTTTTTTATTTGTCTGTTAAACCAGACTGGATTTTGTGTGTTTCTGTTGCGTCTTTTTTTCTTCAAAGGTATTTCTTCCGAAATTATTTCTGTTAAAATTTTGTAGAACACGTCTATACCAATTTCGACATTTCCTACATTCCTTAAAATTAATTGCCAATTGACACTGTTTAATTTAAATTTTATTTTTTCGTAGTCTGCTAATTTGTATTCAAAGACTTCTTCGTATTCGCAGTCGTTGGGTCTTTGGTTTTCATGCATAAATAAAGAATATTCGATTGCTGTGTGAAACGCTTCATTTTTCCACAGTGGATTTAATGATTCGGTCATACAGAAATCTTCATAAATATTCGTTAGTAAAAAGTCCAAATAGCAATTTTGTTGGTTTTTGATGTGGTTAATTTGGTTCAGTCCTAAATTAGCAGTTTTGTCAAAAATGAACTGCAATGTTTCATTATCCCCAACGACTGGGAGTAAGATACATTCATTTTCAGAGTCCAGAATGAAGTCAGCATGGCGTTGATTAAAGTCTCCATAGATGTGAACTTTAACCTCAGGAGGAAGGTCAGATAGAATTTGTTCAGCACTTTGGAAGAAGGCTTCATAAGTGCTTCTATGAGCATGGTCTGGTGGAAAATACACTGAGGCGAACACGTGCGTTTCACCGGCTATGTGTGATTTCACCCAAATATGCTCAAATTCTGTAAATTTTGGTGTAAAGATAATTTCTGAGTTAAAATTGGCCGAAAGAGCTATAAGAACTCCACCACCTGACTTCTTCTGTGTTGCATGAAAATTTCTGTCGTCCCTGAATACATTAAAGGCATTTCCAAAGATTTCTTCACTGGACAGGAATGTACGGTAGGATTGCAGGTCTGCCAAGGCGTCGTTTCGAGTAATTCCAAGTTCTTCATGGACGTCCAGGAAAATTTCGTGCAGGAGGTTTCTGTCTTTTGGTAGTCCTTCAGCTGCTAGCATTAGAATAGCACTGGTTTTGGTGATTCCGCGAATACATGTTGATGATGGCTGGTCATGAAGGAAGGAGAGGTAGGTCCGAACAATGTCCATAATTTTCGGGTCCCTTAGACGCGCCTTCAGGAAGCGTTGGTCGCCAGTTACGGACTGTTCAGTAAGTCTCACTATTGGCGGACGCATGGGGTCCAGAAGAGGAGGGTGTTCTCGCTCAGTTGGTTTTTCAGTTCGATAAGGGTTAATAGTTTCCCCTTTTTCGAAATTAATGAAATTTAGTCCGCTTTCTTTGGGTGGCCGAGAAAATTGTATTCGTGCAGCAGCCAAAAGTTCTTTATCCAAAGGTAATGCAGTGCTGTTGTAGAGATGGCTGCTTCGGGTCCTGTTGTTGTTGATGTTGTTGTTGTTGTTGTTGTTGTTGTTGTTGTTGTTGTTGTTGTTGTTGTTGTTGTTGTTGTTGTTGTTGTTGTTGTTGTTGTTGTTGTTGTTGTTGTTGTTGTTGTTGTTGTTGTTGTTGTTGTTGTTGTTGTTGTTGTTGTTGTTGTTGTTGTTGTTGTTGTTGTTGTTGTTGTTGTTGTTGTTGTTGTTGTTGTTGTTGTTGTTGTTGTTGTTGTTGTTGTTGTTGTTGTTGTTGTTGTTGTTGTTGTTGTTGTTGTTGTTGTTGTTGTTGTTGTTGTTGTTGTTGTTGTTGTTGTTGTTGTTGTTGTTGTTGTTGTTGTTGTTGTTGTTGTTGTTGTTGTTGTTGTTGTTGTTGTTGTTGTTGTTGTTGTTGTTGTTGTTGTTGTTGTTGTTGTTGTTGTTGTTGTTGTTGTTGTTGTTGTTGTTGTTGTTGTTGTTGTTGTTGTTGTTGTTGTTGTTG